GAAATTCATAACCGCCTCGTGGAAGTCTATGGGCCAGGTGTGATGTCGAAGCAAATGGTGCGGAGATGGTGTCGCACATTCAGTGATGGACGTCAGCAAGTGGAGGACATACCGAGAGCTGGACGGACGCGCACGGCCACTACAGATGCAAATGTCAGGAAGGTGGATGACATGATTAGAGCGAACCGGCGTATCACCATCGATGAAGTAGCGGAAGAACTTGGAATCTCACATGAGCGAGCTCAAAACATCATCCACGACATTCTTCGATACAGAAAAGTGTCAGCACGATGGGTGCCCCGACAATTGACCTCGACACACAAGGAACAACGCATGGGGGTCAGCCTGGAACATCTCGTGCGTTACCATGAAGATGGCAATGACTTTCTGTTTCGGATTGTGACGGGGGATGAAACGTGGGTCCACCATTTCACGCCAGAATCGAAGGCCGCATCTATGGAGTGGAAACATCCGTCATCACCTGTCCGAAAGAAGTTCAAGACAACTCCCTCTGCAGGTAAAGTGCTCCTCACAGTTTTCTGGGACGCCCAAGGAGTTTTGTTGCTGGACTTTTTGGAGGTTGGAACCATCAATGCTACGCGCTACTGTGACACCCTGTCGAAATTGAAAGAGGCGATTCGGAAAAAGCGGCCTGGCCTTCTCACATCTGGCGTTCTGCTGTTGGATGACAATGCCAGACCACATTCGGCGACGGCAACGCAAAACCATATTGCAACTCTTGGTTGGGAGCGCCTACACCATCCGCCATACAGTCCTGATCTCGCACCAAGCGACTTCCATCTGTTTCCGGCTTTGAAGAAAAATCTCGGGGGGGGGAAGGTGCTTTGGAAGCAATACTGAAGTGAAACAAGCCGTTCAACGCTTCTTCCATATGCAAAGCCCTGATTTTTTCCTGGAGGGCCTTTTTGAAGCTTATCAAGCGATATGACAAATGTCTCAATGTACTTGGTACCTATGTGGAAAAATAAAGGTATGTCATATCTTTAATGTCTCATTCTATTTTTTGACTTTCATACACAACTCTGACCACAGTCGACAGGGAAAACTTATTTTTCAACTTACCCACGTACATGTTATAGCAGTCCCATATACAAAATTTCAACGTTCTGAGGCTACTCGTTTTTAAGTTTTGCGAGATACGTACGTACGTACGTACATACGTTCGTACAGACGCCACGAAAAATTATCTTCAGAATTCATTTTAAAGCAGTTTTATAATTTTTTTTGGAGGAAGCGAGTCTTTTGTTCTGTCCTTACGTACAGATATCACGCAAATACATGATTAAATTTCATTCGATAGCGGTCAAAATGGATATTTTCGTTGAAATATGCTGCCTGAAACTTTTCGCGATTACAATACTTCCTTTTTACTTCGTACAAGGAAGTAAAAACATGTTTTGCCTCATGTTTGTGTCCTTCTTTTTTTTGCGTTTTGTGTTGTCGCTACCGTAGCGTTTCTGATCATGCATTGCTATGTGATTTCCCATTGTATAGCTGTACTCCTGAAAATTTGTCACCGCTGTACTGATACACCTTTTATACAACTAAGGAAAGGATTAAGATCCCAATCAATCTAATACACGCCTGAAGAACAAATATCCTCCATCATGTTTTAGTTCGAATGCCAGTTATGGAGCTGAAAGGAATTTTAAACAAGATATTTTAACATAATTGACGATAACATATCTTTTAACATATTTAACATTTTGTATGATTCATAACTGATCTATGAAGAAGTGACCAAAATCTAACTTCCCGTCTCTACGGGACATATAAGGGATGATTTTAATATCTTCTACCTTTACAACAGAAAAAAAAATTAAACTATGCAGATTAGAGTTAATTGGTTACTTTTTTAAAATAAATCTTTATTTAATCTTTTAAAAAAAATAATTTTTAGTTATTCTGATAAAAATTCATTGCAGAACATTAAATACTACAGTTTCTGGGGGGAGGAAGAAAAGAAAAGCGTTTAACTGTTCAGGATATAAATCACATCCTTTAAATAATGACTAAATGCTTCGGTTTTATTTCCTTCTGCCAGTTTAATGCGTCATTTCTAAAAACAAGAGGAAATTATCAAATACATTATTTGGATTATTATCCCAATTTATCAGAATCCCTTTTCTCTTAGTAACTCAAATATCACTTTCGTTTCGATTATTCTGAAAAGTAGAATGACTGATTATCGAGAGGAAAATTCCGCAATAAATGTTTTTTTGTGCAAGCAAATACCAAATATATGCTGATATTGAGCTTTTTTATTACTTCTTGCATCATTGTTTGCATATTGTCGTGTGTATCGCCCGTCGCATTGTCACAAGACCAGTTATAACTATATTAAGGCCTTTTTGTCTCTGACGTATTGCTGATTTTACTTTGGATACATTATTCTATTCAGCCTGTATATGCAGCAAAAACAAGGCTTTTCAAGATCAAGATAATTCAAAATAAATTTCTTAGAGAGAGATAATAAATGTTTTTAGTACTTTAAAATTACGGTGGCTTCGAAATCTGCACACCAACACGAATTTATTAATCATTCGCTATTTTGACGCCACCTTTCTTAAAACATAAAGTTCCCTTGATGCCTGAAACCGTCTAATATATAATTATATCAAAATAAAATTAATTTAAGTTGACTGTAAAAGTTGTTTATCTTTTAATGATTTGTTTTTACTTCCTTGTACGAAGTAAAAAGGAAGTATTGTAATCGCAAAACGCTTCAGGCAGCATATTTCAACGAAAATATCCACTTTGACCGCTTTCGAATGCAATTTAATGATGTTTTTGCGTGATATCTGTACGTAAGGACAGAGAAAAAAAGACTCTTTTCTTCCAAAAAAAACCGCTTTCAAATGAATTCTGAAGAGAATTTTTTGTGGCGTCTGTACGAACGTATGTACGTACGTGCGTACGTACGTATCTCGCATAACTCAAAAACGAGTAGCCTCAGAACGTTGAAATTTTGTATATAAGGCTACTATAACATGTAAATGTGCACCTCGTATTTTGGTTTCAATCGGCCGCGCCAAACGTATATAAATATATTTATAAATATATCCACTCTGTTACCCGGCTCAGTGATCTCAGTTTCTTTACTCTTATATGTTTGTAAATTGTACATTTTTTGCTTTAAAAATGATTGAATTATGTTGTTCTTATCTTCCGGTTAAGGTTTTTATGCCTTTAGTAAATCGATATGCAATATTTTTAGAATTATCTACAATTTTAAAATTGTTTAAGTGCCGCTAAGCCTAATTTGATGGCGGCCATTGCTCTTGTTTACATTTGAAACAGCTGAGTAGCGGATTTGTTGCCAATCTAGAGAAACTTAGCTTCGCAACAACAAAGATACGCCTTCATTTATTGTTGCGAATTAAATCATGCTTAATCCTTTCTGGAATTTTTTCGAGGAAATAAGTGTTTAAGATTTACTTCGTAATTTTTAATACAGATATTTTGAGTTTTTATGTATTTTTGCCTTGTCGGGAAGTGAAAACTGAATTAATTGAATGAGAAATACTGTTTCTTTTTTGTTTTGTTTGCTTAATTTCTTTTATACATAGTTCTAGCTTTATTATACTATTTGAATAGAACCTGTGGCAACGATTAGATAATTCTTTAAATGATATAAATTTTGTGCATTCTGAGTTATAATATGAACGAAATATAATACTGCAAATTAAGCAAACGTAGCGCCAGAGTGTCGCTATGGTAAACAAAGTGAATTTTAAAGAATGCATTTATTCTATTGTGGTTTATGCGCTGTCGGCGAAGTAGGTTTAATTCAATCTAATAAGTTTAAATAAAATGCAAGAAAAAATTCGTATAATTTAATATTCCGTACAAGGAAGTCATGTGGTGTACACATCAGATTTTTTTATATTGCGAAAATATTTATGGGAAAATGTTGCTATAACTGCAACATTCAAAGAGAGAAAACTGCAAATTGTTGTTGCGCATTGGAAATAAGTTGTTGAAACACACAGCAATGAACTAAAATAAAATTATTTTCTTAGTACCATGTATCGCAAAAGTAATCGATTTGCATGAAACAGCTATACCTCTTTTTCTTGCTTGAGTAATAGATTTAACTGAGGCATTTATTTGGTGAAGTGGGAGAATTTCTTCTAATTTTTCTGTGAGGTTCTTACAATCCTCATTCTTTGGCGAGATTATGGTTGGAGAGTCTTCTTTTATATGCGAAGTCGGTTGTTGATAACTTATTTTGTTATTAGAGTCATTTAACATATTTAAGCAGTTGTTGTCTTTTTGCAGTATTATATCAGGTTGTTCAATAAATTCGCAGAACGAAAATGAAGAAGCCAATTTTTATTTGTAAAAATGACTTTATTTTTCAACGTAGTTTCCCTCAACTTCAATACCCTTATTCCAACGGTCTTCTAATTTATGGATCCCTTAACTGTAGTGGTTTTTCGGCAGCTCTGCAAAATATCCCTCCACAGCAGCTATTACCTCTTCGTTTGAAGAAAATCGTTTTCCACGAAGATATTGTTTGAGGAGTGGGAAGAGCCAGAAGTCGGCGGGAGCTAAATCTGGCCAATAGGCTGGATGTTGCAATAATTCGTACTTCAATTTAGTTATTTTAGCAATGGTTTTTTGAGCTGTGTGCGCAGGTGCGTTATCTTGGTGGAAAATGATTTTCTTCTTCTGTAATCCGGGTCTTCTTTCACGAATTTTTTCGTCTAATTGATTCAAAAGGTTACAATAATAATCCTGAATTAATTGTTTTGCCAGTTTATAAACAATAAAAGGTAATCTATAAACAAAATTCCTTTCGCATCCCAAAAAACTGATGCTAACACCTTCTTGGCTGATTTTTGCACACGAACTCGCTTCGGCGCCGAAGAGCCGGGTTTCAACACCACCTCCTTAGCCTCCTGTAAGCAGTTTGATTCAGGATCATGATGGTAGACCCAAGTCTCATCCATTGTGATAAATCGATCCTCGGAAGGTCAGCAACCGATGCTGTGAAAGTCGCTTTTATTCTTCTTAAAAAGCTCCAAATGTTGCTGGCAAAGTCGCATCCGAATGTGTTTTTGCTCCATCGTTAGAGAATGCGGCGCCCATTTTGCACAGAGTTTTTTGAAACCCAAATTAACACTCAAAATATTGGTCACTGTGCCCAATGAAATGCCTAAAGCCTCTGTTAAATCTCTTTCAGTCAATCGACGGTCTTCCAATACGATATCTTGTATTTTTCCGATGATTTCCGGTGTTGATGCAGTTTTTGGACGTCCCTCTCGCGGATCGTCTTCAAGGCTGGTACGACCACTTTTGAATAAACTAGCCCACTTGCAAACCATTGTTTTTGAAGGAGCAGATTTCCCCAACATATTCGCCATTTCGGTGTGAATTTCCATTGCCTTTAAACCTTTCTTTACAAAGAATTTGATAACTGCACGTTGCTCAATTTTATCCATACCTGAAGAAAGGCACAGCACGTTAGATATAAAGGGCGGTTAAACAATGAATAAATTAACAGATCGAAATGAAACTTTTGACGTGTTCCTAAGAAAGAACAAATATGAAAATGGCGTCGAAGTTTTAGGTCTAATATTGACGAATACATGGCGCTCCGCGAACTTATTGAACAACCTTGTAGATGTTTGAGCAGGGACTGGACATTCTTTATTGCAGCAACAGTTGTGATGAACAGTATTGCTATGTTTCTGAGGTATTATATTTTCATTATTTGGAATGTTTATGTCATATAAGTTATTAGATATGTTTGGAGCATTTTGATTTAATAAACTTTGCTCTATAGCAATATCTTTTAGCAATTGTAGCTGTTCTGCTACTGTGTCAAATGCATTTTTTGGGGAAAGGTTTCGTACTGTTTCTTTTTGGCATAAGCAAATCCATTAGATCATAAATATGGTATTTATTTGAATTACTGGATCTTTATACTTTATGATGGAAGATTTTATCTTATCCGCGGTCTTAACAAAGTTGTTAGAGATTAAAGAGTCTTGGGGTAATATTTCAAAATCTTTTATAACGGCTTGATTGTGTATGGCAGTATGCGATTATATTATTGAGCTTGACAACGGTGACAAACATTACTGGATAGCTTTGTAGAACGCCAATAAATGGCAGTGCAAGTTTGCGCTATGAATTATGTATGGTAGTGGAACTTGGCTTTCGCCAAACATTGGAGTTTTTGCTGCGAGACGCGGACAACACACAACGGTGCCTGAGGGTTTCTACTGAACACCCTGTCTATGGTAATAGTAGTAGTAGTAGTAGTAGTAGTAACGGAGGATGTGGGCACCCATCCCTCTACCATTACGGTTAATCGGCTCTGCCCACGCCCTTGTCTAGTATTTATTATTAATTCTAAAATTTTCACATTGCCATATATTGCGGCTGATCTACAAATAATGTCTATACAATAATTGCATTCACATTATTATCATAACTAATTACATAAATTTTGGTTGGAGAATTTTCTCTAATGAATTTTTCTTTTGTAATTTCTCTTTAATTTTAAGCAGTCTATATATTATTTCTTTATCGTGAAGTTTCTCTTTTGTTATTCGCACCATTTCAACAAGAATGTTGTCTAAATCCTCCTGCAAAATTCCTTTTATTTTGCTGCAGTTCATTCATGAGTTTCTCAGTTTCAAGGTTTCTATTGTATGCCTCATATTATACCTTATATATTGTGCTAATGTCTTCCAGAATAGTACTTTTTCTTTCCAAAGTTTTTCGCCTTTTCCTTTTGTGTGTCGGTGAATCCTATCTTTCTTTGATCACACCAAATGAACATGGGTATGCTTTCTTGTAACTTGATTTTGAGGTTTATAATACAGGGAGTCCGAAAAGTCTTTCCCTGATTACATAAATTGATAACTCAGGCTAGAAGTAAGATACAAATATGAAACTGGTGTCTAATTGTTTACAAACTATCGAAGTTTTTTTCACACATCAGTAAACTTCCACATGAGCACCCTTGGTAGCACGTAGCACATCTAGGCGATATTCAATTTCCTTCCACACATTAGCCAACATCACTGGAGGGATCGATTAAACGACTGTGGTTATCCGTTGCCGCAGGGTTTCAAGATCTGGTACACGTGTTCGGTAGACCTCGTCCTTGACATAACCCCATAAAAAGAAGTCTAATTAGTCTGAGATAACCATCATCGTCCTCAATACGTGATGGCATTTCGACCGCAAAGTTTTATCGACGTGTACTGTCATTGGGCAACAAGGCCTGAACGATTTGCACTTTGTATGCACGAAGCAATACACGTTTGTGTAAAATGTCATGGAGAGAGCTTTTTGGTATCTGTAATTCACGTGAGGCCCTGGGCACCGATTTCTTCGGACTTCGCAGAAAAGACTACCTCACAGCTTCCACCCTGTCTGCTGAGGTTCTTGGTCGACCAGACCTCGGAAGGTCAGCAACCGATCCTGTGTTCTTGAACTTCTCATACCAGGCTTTAATGCTCTTGACATCAGGTGGATTCCTTCCAAATGTTGTCTGGAAGTGTCTCTGCACTGTGGTTGATGATCGTGTCTCATGGTACCACAGGATCGTGTCTCATGGTACCACAGGATCGTGTCTCATGGTACCACAGGATCGTGTCTCATGGTACTATGCTTTCTCCTGATTCATTAACATGGCTTCTTGGGCACTGCACCTCATCCACTACTTACGTACTACGAACCTAAAACAGAAAAAACCTTTGATAGTTTGTAAACAATTCGACACAAGTTTCATATTTGTATCTTACTTCTAGCCTGAGTTATCAATTTATGTAATCAGGAAAAGACTTTTCGGACACCAGACAATTTAACTACCAATGTGTCATGTCTTCATAATAGCGAAAAATTAGTAATTATTTATCGTAATTTGAATGCGTGTACATTTTAAATATAATATGTATGATACTTTTTGATAGAAATTAATTCCTTTTTCAAATGATAAGCACTGCTGTTATTTGCTTTTCTCTATTATAGATTGCATTTACTACGTTACTCCTTTAGTTATTATACTATTACATCTTTATTATAACTTGCTATATGAAATTATAGTACTTGACATAAATCTGTGACCAATTCTGTTAGGATGTTCATTGTTTTTGTGATTTTCTGCACTGTGTATTTTTTGTTTTACTAAGAATTTACTAAAAGCTTGAATATTTGTTTTTGGCATTTTAATATAAAAATCTTTAGTGAGTGGGTAGTTGGTAATGTAATGTTCAGCCGTTCCCAGCTGGCACCAAATACAAGTACTTGTGTTTGAAATACCAAACCTTTCGAAATATTCGGGAAAAGGTCCGTGGCCTGAAATAAAGCGCCCTAATTGTGGGTTTGCAATTAGTCGTTGTGGGTTTACCTTGGCAAAGCGTTGATATGTTCTTTTACCCCTTTCACTGTTATTCCATTTATCTTGCCATTTTGATATGGCATCGATATAAGATGCCTTTTAGATGAGAGGTTGCCCATGGGATATCTAAGTTGGTCCACTATTTCATTGCAGTAAATCCCAGCATGACCTTTTATCCATTCTAGGGTTATTTTGAATGAAACATTAAGTTGTAAATCTTTCTGAATTGCTACAAAAATAGAGGAGGTAGTTTTCGGATCTTTTATTGAGCAGAGTGTGGAAAGGCTGACAGATTTTATAGTTATATTATGTCTGCTATGTTCTTTAATTTTTTTTTTTTTTTTTTTTTTTTTTTTTTTTTTTTGACTAATACCATCGCGTCGGCTTGGAATACACTTTTATTTTTGTGAAGCTGACCCTTCCATTGATGAATTGTGATGCCATTATGAAGTGCCACGAAAGCGCATCCAACATTCTCATTAATATTAAATCCATCAGTATAGATTTCCTATTCTGTAGCAGGAAGAATGTGTTTATTATTTGTTTAAAAAACAGATGTTAGTTTAGTTTAGTGACGGAGGACGTGGGCACCACCCCTTTACCATTATGGTTAATTGGTTTAGCGCCACGTCCACCCTTATCTAAAGCTGACTCATGTTAGAGCCACACGAGATCCACTCATAGGGCACATTGATTAGTGTTACAAAACATAGATATTAAAAATGGTTACATCTGTGTGAACACAGTACTTATGAACAAAACTTTAGCAAGTGACACATAAGATTACAATTCAATACCCTAGCAAGTAATTTTAGCAAGTTACATATAAAGTTTACAATTCAATACATAAGATATATCATATATAATGATTATATTATACTATTGTGATTGATAAGTGACGACATTGTCAACATGAATTAATAATTCGTTGGATTAAGTATATTAATAATAATTCGCTTTTATACGAAACTTCAGTTAAGGAATTGTGCATTTAATGCGCTCGCGCATTAATCCGAAAAGGTTACGTTCATTTTTTCATTCCTATTTAAGAAATTTTGATTTCACCATTATTTTTACAGTCGCACGACTTTGTAAGATTGGGATTCTGCTGTAGTGTTTTATCTACTTATGAGATATTGCTATAATTTCAGCGCTTTCAAAAGGGAGAGGATATCAATAAGGCTACTCTGCAGTTTTACCATCAAAAATTAGTTTTGAAATAAATCAATTAAAAAACGAAGAAGAAATGCAAAATACAATAAAATACTCAGTAGTGGTGGCAGTGACAACACTATGTTTAAATTAAATCGCTGACGATTGGACAGAAGTCATAGAGGTAGGCAAGATTATGTGATTAGAGCCTGCATAATCAAACGGCAGATCTTCTAATCTCTTCGCGTCTTTAGCTACTCGATCACTTGTCAGTGATAAAGATCATCTGTTTATATTTCATCACCTTTTACATATGTTACGGTGAAACACCGAAATCTGGAGAATGTCGACTTTCACCGGTGAATGTCAACATTCACATAGTCTCTTGGTGTATGTCCGAAATATTTTCCATATACTCTTATTTCTGACTTACACCGGTCAATGTCGACATTCACCATGTACTCATGGTGAATGTTGAACATATAACAATATTACATTTTCTTCTCTGTAATTCAGTCGCGAATAAACGCACTTGAGACTTGAAATAAGAACTTAAGAACATGAGAACCTAAAACACACAATACATTCAAAATGAGAAAGGAAAATAATAGAAGTTAAAAACTTACTTAATTATACAGTACGTTCTAAATGAGAAAATAAAATAACATTAATAAAAATCTTACCAAATTTTGTGATTCAAATGTTATTTATTGCAACAACTTAAACTATTATGGCACTTCATGACCTCTCTTTTCGACTTTCACCAGAGCATATCTGTGATTGTGGACACACAGGTGAGGGTCCGAATATACAAGAATATAGTGAAATATTCCGTCTTTCACCGACGTATTTGGTGAATGTTGATATTCTCCGGTGAAAGTCGACATTCTCCAATTTCGGTCTTTCACGGTAACATATATAAACAGCGAGATATAAATCCGTGATGCAGGGCTTTCAGCTGGCTGTACTAACATGCAGCCCGTACAAAATTTCATCGAAATTGGCAGACACTTTACAATTAGCATATACCCCAGTGATCTTCAAATTCTGTT